TCTGTGAGTGGGATTCCTAACTGTCACGCCTACCTCTACCCTTATCCCTTGCACCAAAAGGTTTCTAACAAGTGAAAGTTAAGTAAGAAGAGTGTGTTTGTGTGTGTGTGTGTGTGTGTGTGTGTGTGTGTTTTGCTTTGAATTTCAGTGTTGGTAGGGATAGAAATGAAAGGTTTGCTTTAAGGAGGTGTTGAGGATTATTTTGGAACTCAGTCATTCCTTAACTCTAAAACCTAAAATCTAGTTTTTGGTGTCATTAAGGTCTACTCAGGAAGGCAAACCCTCCTTTGAAAAAGTTGAAGCTGCTCCAGAGAGTCTCCCTGGAAAGAAGACAGAGGCCCAGTCTTCAGAATCTTCATGCACAAAAGCCTCATTTACTGTGTCCACCCTTTTAGAAAATTTCCCAAAAAGGCAAACTTGGGAAAAGAAGGGCACAGCAGCCTGTGCTGAGATGGCTTGGGTTTCAGAGGCCCAAGCTTTGGAGGCCCGAGCTGGGGAGGCTCAGGCCTGGGAGGCTCAGGCTTGTAAGATTCAGGGCAGGTTCAACCAGCTCAGACAAACCTCTTCTTTGGAGGTGGAAACTGCCCAAATCCTGAAACAGGAACCCGTACCTGAGAAGGTGCCAGAGAAAGAAAAGAGTGAGGACTTCTTCACCCGTCCACTCTGGTCCAACAAGGTTGAGTACATCATGGCCCAGGTGGGCTATTCCATGAGGACACTCCATATTTGGCGTTTTATCTACATGTGGCTTCATCATGGAGGTTGTAAGTCTGGGGACCAGAAATCATGGATCCACAAGGGGCTAGCAAGACAGAGGCCTACCCAGGCTTCAAACTTCAAGATCTCTGGGATCTGTAGCTTCTGGCGACTTGGTACTCTGTGCAGGACAGGGGCCAGGTGCCTGAACACTTAGGATCACAAGAGGGGTAGAGGTGCAGGGTATCTGAACATGAGGATGGTGGGGCTAGAAGCTGGGCTCAGGGCCCAGGGTGGAAACTATTTATCTGGATGTTTCAGAAACTGAAGGCCAAGGGACTGGACACCTGGGACTCTGAGGGATGTGGAAACAGTTGATGCCCGTGGCCCTGAGGGAGGTCACTGTTGGGGAACGTGTTTTCCTGAACTCCAGAAAAAGTCCAAGCACTAAAAAGCCACATGGTTCTCAGAGCCCCTCCTTGAATCCCCTGCACAGGGTGTTTTCTCATCATGTACTCCATCTTGCATTTCTTGGTCGGGGTTCCTCTCCTCTTGCTGGAGATGGCAGCTGGTCAGAGGATGCGTCAGGGCAACATTGGTGTATGGAAGATCATCAGCCCCTGGATCGGTGGGGTGGGGTATACCAGCTTCATGGTGAGAAGCTCTGGGCTGCCCAGGCCCACCCTTCACATCCCCATGCCCTTCCAACCCTTGTCCTAGAATGGTCCCGTGAGTTCACGTCCATGGGTCAAGTCCCTTCAGTTCCCCAGTCCTCTGTCAAATCCCCTCTTTTTTCTGCCTCCACCCTTCCTCCCCAGACACCTCTTTCCTGGCTCCTAGGTGTGCTTCATTTCCGGCTTGTACTTTAATGTGTTGAATGCCTGGACCATCACCTACGTGGGCGAGTCCTTCCAGATTCCTGTTTCATGGGGGCACTGTCCCCTACTGATGAACTCCAGTGACTTTGGTGAGGAGGACATGAAAGAGGAGGCAAAGGGGAAAACAATAGAGGTGGAAGGGAATTTGGAAAAGGAGAAAGGAGTGAGGAGGAAAGAGGAAGAAGAGGAAGAGAGTAGAAGGAAGAAGAAATGGGAGGGGAAGGAAGAAAGAGATGTGGGGGAAGGGGTAAACAAGAGAGGAAAGCTTACCTTGTCTACCAAGCGTGTCCAAAGCCAAATATCTCCAGATCCTGAATGTGTGAAGACAACACCCTCCATGTACTTCTGGTACCGGATGGCCTTGAAGGTGTCAGACTCAATTGAGGATGGTGGGTCACTAATCGTCAGTCTGATCCTGCCCTTTTTGGTGTCTTGGTGTCTTGTTGGTGTTTTCATGATTAATGGGCTCAAGTGCATCGGGAAGGTGAGCCACCATTTTTGGATTTCTTAACATCTCAGATATTTTAGCCCTCACCTAACATTGTTACTCATTGATCTTCTAATTTCTCACTCCCTCTGGTCTTTCACTCCCGCTAGCCCTTGAACCCTGCTGAAAGCTGTCTTCTAACTCCTCCTCATTTCTGACTCAGAACCTTTTGATCCCTGCTGATTGTTTGTTGTCCCCCACTGGTACATGGTTGCTAATATGTCCTCCTCTCAATTCAGGTAATGTGTGTCTTGGTACCAGTGCCCTATTTCATCATGCTTTGTTTCCTCATCCGGAGTCTGCTGCTGGATGGGGCATTTTTGGGCCTTCGCCATATGGCAGCTGCCAAGGTAAGGCATATCTTCCTCACTCCCCTGTCAGGCCTTAGAGGACACCTATTTTCTATTCTTAGGTGTCCCTTCCCCATTATCTCCTTCTGTACCCCCCTCACCTCCCCGCCATTTCTGTTAAGGTTCTTTTCTCCTTTGACATCTCGCCTTACACTTGTCTTCTCCCTTTTAGATATCGATTATGTACAGCATGACTGTGTGGTGCCAAACAGGGGTCCAAGTCTTGTTTGGCTTGGGTCTCGGCTATGGCGTCATTGTCTCCTTATCTTCGCACATGCACCTGTCCAACAACTGTCTCAGTGATGCCTTTATTGTGGCGCTCATCAACCTGGGCTCCATGGTTATTTGCACAACTTTTATCTTCTGTATCCTGGGCTTCTGGGCCACTGTCATCACACACCGCTGCAGTGAGAAGTAAGGCCAGCCCCTTAGTTGAGGGTCGCAGCCCCAGGGAACTACAAAACCCAGAGACCCTAACCTTCACACATCTCAACCTCAAGTGCAACCTCAAGTGTCACTTGTAAGCCTCTACCTTCTCCTAGAGCAAAAAACAGACAGTAGGATCCCTGTCACACATTATCCATCACAGAGCTTCTTCTAGCCCTAGAAATCTTCAAGCTCAGAGATTGTCAACTGTCCACCTCNCAAGCAATTCTTGACACCAGCAGGGTATCTAAGACTTGAACTCAATTCTGACACTATCTACTCAGAAATAGAATTGTTAAAGGATTCAGCCCCACAGACTGCCCTGTACTTCAGACACCAATTGTAAGTCCAGGTTGTTACCTATGCTTCTGACCAACCGATTACAAATTGGAGGTTCCAATGACTCCCTCCAACTCAGGATGCCAATCACAAGTCCAGGTTGTTACCTGTACTTCTGACTGACTGACTGACTGACTATAAATCAGTGGTTCCTATAACCCCTTTCTTGGGCTCACAGGACTCAAGAAAACCTCGTTAGTCACTAGATTATTGATTTATTATAAAGGATATTAAAGGATATGAATCAACAGCCAGATAAAGAGGTACATAGGCTAAGGTCCTGAATGAAGGAGCTTCTGTCCTTATGAGCTTAGGGTCTGGCAAGGTGGCACAGGGAAGCTCCCCAAAAAAGAGGGCTGATGAGCTGTCCTATTGGTTTTTTATGGAGACATCAATCTGACTTCTGTGTCTAGTATCACTTTTTTATTTTTTTAAAGATAACATCTTCCAAGTCAAGTAGTTGTTTCAATCTAGTTGTGGAGGGCGCATCTCAGTGGCCCATGTGGGGATCGAACCGACAACATTGGTGTTATGAGCACTGCGCTCTAACCAACTGAGCTAACCGGCTGCCCCTCTTTTTTTTTTTTTGACTTATTGATCCATATTTTTCTTATTAAAGTAATACGTATTTTTTAGACAATTTACTAAACTAATTTAAAATCAGAGAGAAGGATATAAAAGTACCTATAATCCTATTGTCTTTTACACATTGATGTATTTTTTTTCAGCCTTTCCTTTCGTTGCATTTTTTTTTTAAAGATTTTATTTGGGAATTGGGGGAGGGGAACAGTGTTGGGGATTGGGGAAGGGGACGAGCCAAGTTGTTGTTCTTCAGTCTTCATTGTGGAGGGTGCCAGTTGCCATCTGGCTTCCCATCGGCAGCTCATGGCCTCTAAGCTCAAGGTGCCATGTTCAATCTTCATTGCGGGTGGGCATAGCCACCATCCCCATGTGGGAGCAGCCTCGTTGTTAAGAGCACACACTCTATCCACTGAGCAATCCCGGTGGCAGCTCAGCTCAAGGTGCCAAGTTCAGTCTTAGTTGTGGGTGGTAGTAGCCCACCATTGAATAAACAATCTTGTTGTTACACCAGCTGAGCCATCCTGCCACCTGTTGGCAGCTCAGCAACAGCTCAGCTCGAGCACAGTGTCACTGGCCCATGTGGGAATTGAACTGGCGGTCCTGTTGCTCAGTCAGAGCTCGTGCTCTTAAATCAATTTTAACCACCTGAGCCACTCAGCTGGCCCTCATTGCATTTTTAAATGTAGTATTGGG